AAGTTGATGTAAAAATTTAGTGAATGTCTGTGTGTCTTAGAAAATCGGAAGGTTACCTTTTTTGCATCTTTTGTGACACTTCAGTGCTACTGATGTCTTGCACCCTCTTTACAGTGTATCCCTTTCCATATGCACTACAGGAGAGGTGAACAAATTAATATGGAAGTCAGGAGTTGGTCTGTCCAATTCAGATGCCAGCTTCATTGACAACTAGAGAATAATATCATAAGTCACCAGCTGTAGTTTTTAAAGGGCATTGGCTGCCTGGTTCCTTGGATTTGTCCAGCCCTGCACTACAATGATAACAGGCTTCATGTGTTTTTTTTTTTTCTCAGGTCATATTTCTGAGTTGTTGTTGGCTGCAATTGTTTTTTTCAAAGGCCTTTTTTTAAACAGTGGAATATGCCTGGTCAGTGTGTATCAGCACAGAAGTTTATAGTTTCTTTGGGAGAGCATGTGATGTACAGGCAGGAGATTGTGGGAGAAAGAGGAAGAGTGTCATCACCCTATAACATCAGGTGCTCAAACAATGACCTTTATATATCATTTGTCATTACATAAAACAAAACACCCCAACAAGGACCTTTTTATATCAATCTCACTAGCTATTTTCATGAAGGCTAGTGATTAAAAAATATTATCATGTTAAAGCTTATAGTGATTGGATTTACATCTGCTTCAAACAAACTATGCTTAAGTTATTTACATACATTCTCTAATGTGCCTTACCTGTGTGCACCCAAAAACACCTTTATGGATCAACGTCGGTCCCCCAAACTGTATTATAGCTAGCGCTTCAATTGTCAACACCTTAGTTACTTTCTATTATTTGGGGTCTTTTTTTCCTTAAATTTAGATTATAACTTTTAGCTTGGGGTGATCAGAGCTCATTGGGCAAGTTGTTAACTGTATCCGCATCTACGAAGTGTTTCAAAAATATCTGAGCTATAACGCTGGGGGCGTGGCTGCGGTGCCATTGACTTTAATGCACCGCCACGCCCGCTCCCGCCCAGAATGAAAGGAGGAGTTTAGTGTGCTACCGCTCTGGAACGCACCGCATTTGGTTTGAACTGTCCCTTATGCAAGGTTTGGTAAGAATTGGCCAGCAGCAGGACAGTACGTAAATGTGACCAGGTAGAAAAGGCCAAAATGTTGAAACAGAACAAGGCATGTGTTTAACTACACTAGAAATTCAAGTGCATCATCTCGGAGATTATTAATAAAACATGACCAGCAGCAGGACAGTTTGTTGGGCAAATTGAAAAGGTGAGAGAGCTTAGACACAAGGCAGCTGTTTTGTTACACTAAAATAAGTGTGCTGCCCCAGAGACACTTAAGAAAAAAACAACCAGCAGCAAGATGATAAATTAAAGTGGAACTATAGTCACCTCCCCTCCAGGTAAGTGATGTTCAGCCATCTTGATTGACCGTGCCAGGGTGACGCAACACCAGATGAGTGGTAGTTCATCCATTTCGGCAGATGCCAACGTTGTACACTGCTGCAGCTCAGTGTACATTGCAAACAGGTAGGTAAGAATGTCTCTTCTACAATAAAAAAAACCTGCCTGTCTAAAAAGGTTATTTGTGGTATTAAGTTCGACTTTAATGTATCCAGTAGGGATGCACTAATATTGTTTTTTCGGTATCGAGTACTGATATTTTGCTTTCGGTACTTGCCGATACCGAGTACCATTACCACTGCTTCCGCTGGCATGGAGCGGCTTCCCGGGCAAAGATGAAGCCGGGCGTTGGGTAATGAAACGCCTGGATGCTCCTGAAGCCGTCTCCATGTTGTTTGGCCGGCTCGATGCTGATTGGCCAGGAAGCCGGCTTCCCAACCAATCAGCATGGAGCTGGCTTCCCGGCCAATCAGGAAGCCGGGAGGAGGGTCATTACTCGCTGCATGGCTTTCTGATTGCCTGGGAAGCTGGCTCCATGTTCCCCTATGGCAAATTCTCCTCTGACCGACAGTGCCATAGGGGACATACTTCTGGTATCAGGGATGGTATTGGAGCATACAGGGATGGTATCCTCCAATACCATCCCCGATACCGGAAGTTCCGGTATCGGAGATGATATTGCAGCATTTGGGCACGTACTCTCCCAAATACTTGGTATCGGCATCGATACCTATACTAGTATCGGTATTGGTGCATCCCTAATCTCCAGGTATAATCCAAACCGTGCAGACACAAACAAGACAGCTTTGCTTTCTACAATACAAACTACATTGTACGATATCAGATACACTTGTGAAATACTATTAAATAGAGGCAGGATGTGAGTTGCTCAAACACAAGTCAGGATTTTTTTCCCCAGCAAAATAGGTTGTCAAGCCAAGAAAAGATGCCAGTCTTGGTATACCCGAAGCTCGCAAGCTGATAGCCGTTATGCAGCAAAGTCCATCACTCTGTGGGGTCTGCTGGTGTATATTAGCTGGCTCCTTAGACTCTGTTCTTTGTGTCTAGGGGGAAAGTTGCCCACTGTCACCACATTATCAAAACATGCACAGGCAGACACAAGACAGCGAGAATAGGGCCAAATGTTAAGAAAGAAGGCACAAAGAGTTCTCTTCCAATAAAATTAGAACTTCAGCCCTTTTTTTAGATTTGAGAAGTCTCTTTTTGTTATTTTGGACACAAGAAAGAAGGGGCAATAGAAGAAGGAAGAGAAGTCCCTCTGACAGGATTGCTTTTAATGTTGACGATTTATGGCACATTTTGATTCTTGTGATATCAAACAGTGGTGCTATGATGTCTATGGGCAGCATAACACGTGCACACTTTGGTGAATTTAGACAGAAGCCAATATATGTCTGTATGATTCTTGATTGTAAGAGGAAACACAAACAAGGGGAGAAGGTACAGACTACGTGTGGATGGTAAATTTGGTAGCAGCTTACTCCGCAGCAGCACTTTGTGCACAAAAGCATACACAAAGACGAATATTTATGTGATGTGATTTATGAATATTTAAATCATGAATGCTTGCGTTTGTAATGTGATTTATGCATATATAAATTACAAATGAATGTATGTAGTTTTATGTTTATGGTCTTGGTTAAAAAAATAATCGTAATCATTCTTGATAGCAGCAGAGACCCGATGGTAAAGTGTCTTCCCTTGCGCTAGAAAAACTGAGCTTAATATCAGTTATTTTTTCTTTTACCATTTAAAAAAAAAAAATTCTGTTATCCATTTTCCAAATGCAGAAAGTGATGTGCCCTATCTTTTATCCTCATATTTTGCTGAAAATTAATAAATGTATGAAAATCCAGCCAATTCATTCACAAGACACCAGCAAAATCACTGAGAAAGCAACCTATCCATTCATTAGAGCAGTGACATCACTGAGAATGTTGCCCATCCATTCACTAGAGACCAGTGACATCACTGAGAATGTTGCCCATCCATTCACTAGAGGCCAGTGACATCACTGAGAATGCAGCCTATCTATTCACTAGAGACCAGTGACATCACTGAGAATGCAGCCTATCCATTTACTAGAGACCAGTGACATCACTGAGAATGCAGCCTATCCATTCACTAGAGACCGGTGACATCACTGAGGATGCAACCGATCTATTCACTAAAGGCCGGTGTCATCACTGAGAGTGCAATCTGTCCATTCATAAGAGACTGACACCCATACGGGGTCCATTTACTATGTACTGGTGGCATCACTAAGAAAGTAACCTTGTTCACTAGATCCCAGTTGCAGAACTGAGAGTGCAGCCTACCCAACCTACACATTCAATAAAGACCGGTGAGATCATGGAGAATGCAGCCCATCCATTCACTAGAGACCAGTGACATCACTGAGAATGCAGCCTATCCATTCACTAGAGGCCAGTGACATCACTGAGAATGCAGCCTATCCATTCACTAGAGACCAGTGACATCACTGAGAATGCAGACTATCCATTCACTAGAGACCAGTGACATCACTGAGAATGCAGCCTATCCATTCACTAGAGACCGGTGACATCACTGAGGATGCAACCTATCTATTCACTAAAGGCCGGTGTCATCACTGAGAGTGCAATCTATCCATTCACAAGAGACTGACACCCATACGGGGTCTATTTACTATGTACTGGTGACATTACTAAGAAAGTAACCTTGTTCACTAGATCCCAGTTGCAGAACTGAGAGTGCAGCCTATCCATTTAAATTAGACCAGTGACATGCATTTGTACCTGCAAATCCATTAGGTGGAGAAGAGCCATGTTGGGAACTACCACCCGACACTGAGTTGTGCTGAGGACTTACTGTTTATTTGTAGACAAACATCAAGTTTTTTTGTCTAGGGAAAGGTGATATTATTGAGGAAGCAGAATATTCATTCACTGAGGACTAATGGCATCCCTAAGGTCTCCTTCTCAAAGCTGGTAAAAAAAAAAACAGGTGGCTAGTCCATGTTTTTACCACTCCTGACCACCCAACTATAATTTTACATTTTGGCCACTAGGGGGTGGTATATTAAGAACACCATGCCAATTTTTTTTACAGCACGTTACATTTGGCAGGCGGTACTGCATGCATCCATTGACACCAATAGGATCGCTTGGGATGCGGTTGTGCTACAGCATTTCAATGTAAAGTCCCCTTGAGATCAAGAAAAAAACTAGCCATTAATGAGGCACCAGTATTGCCTCCTAAACTCCTAAATCGGTTCTGAACCGCCGGTGTGTGAACTTGCTGCTTCAGTGAATGAGGCCTAAGGAAGCAGCATATCTATTCAATAGAGACCATAACCGCATGAAGAAAGCAGCCTACCCATTAACTGGGGATTACATCACTGAAAAAGTCTATCCATTTTCTAGAGACTGATGACATCACTGAGAATGCAGCATATCTATTCAAACTGTTGGCGCTATATACATCCTGTATAATAATAGTAATAATAATTATTATCTATTCACTAGAGACCATTGACACAACCACAGTTCCTGTACATTTTGCACACATATTTTTTGAAAGCTGAGCAGATGCACATACTGTGAAATACGGCAATGCTGGTTGTGGAGATAGTGAAAATATTTGGGCACCTCCCTGGAGTGCAGTTTAGTGGGACAAGACCCAGGTGTCCTGTACATGTGCATACTGCAGAGCCTGCTGATCCATAATTACTGTCCATGGATTATTCTGTTTGAACTTGCGTTCTACTTTTAGAAAATAGTTTGCATAACCGCTGAAATCAGGGCCTGTCTTGTTACAGTAAATGAAGGATATTTAAAGCCTCGCATATCTGGGCGTGTAATCAGCTAATGCTGCCATGCTCTGTGTGTTTGTTTGCTTTGTGTTTTGGTATTCACAGTAGTCTTGTAAAATGAGATGTTATTGACCCATTTAGCAACATGTCTCCAGATATTCAGGAAATTGAGGAACACATCACCGTGGGCATGAATAAGAAATGCAGTAACCATACTGTGACATGTATGTGGCACGTCATATGCAGTGAATTGATTCTGATTGCCTATTGTGTGTGTGCCCTGCAAATGAAGCCAGTAATAACTAAAGCTAGCCATAGATGGGTAGATATCTCACATTGAATTAATGTGACCTGTACCCAAGCTATGGACATTTTAGTATCATATGCCTAACAAGCAGTAAATGAACATTAAAACAGGACATCACTGACCTTTGTAGCCTAAGGCTCTGTGGAGCAATTCATCCTCAATGTTCACTGCAGAAGCTTTGATGTTGCTCATGTTGTTCTCTCTGCAGCTCAGATTCCCCCTTCCAGCAGTGATTCAGTAGCTTAGCTCACCCTGCTCCCTCTTAGCAAAAACTCAGCCGCTGAGCTCCTCCTGCTCCCCCTCATCATAGTGTCTGAGCAGCTCAGCTCACTGCTGGCATGATGTAATTGCTTTTCTGACATTTCTAATCCAACTAGATTGGAGTTTGCAATAAAATGAACAGGCCTGAAGATAATAAGCCCTGATTGGGCAGAGTGACAGTGCCTGCACATAGCTTAACTCCGCATGCTTTTATAATTATCGAGCCATGCTCTCTGGCCACCTCCCTGCTGGAGCACCCCAGCCTGATTTTGGCTGGTGTTGGAGCTCAAACAGGGGGGTGATATCATGTCCCACTCCACATGGGGAAGGTCAACTGACAATGTGTCAGGATGCCAGGGTCGTCACCTCCCCACGAGGTCAGAGGGTACGGCGTAGGGTACAGACCTCCCTTCAGCCTGGCAGACCCGCTGGGCCTCCGGCAGCCAGTACGCGTGTGCGAGCTGCGCGCCGGGTGCGCAGTACACAGGCTGCGCGCGCATCCCGGGGACGTGCGCCTGTTTGAGCTTCAGTTGTGGCCTTGCTGGCCTTGGCCTTCAGTTGTGGCCAGCACACACACGCGCCTTTCGCCTGCCATTGGTCCTCGGGAAGGGGGCGGACTCGCACCCCCTGGCTATAAAAACCTGGCCAGAGCCCTGAGTCAGTGCTGAGTTATTCCACCTCATGGTGTGACATACGAAGCTCCCCTCCTATGTGCCTTGCTGCCAGTTACCTGAACCCTCTGCTGACTTCCCGTGTACCGACCTTGGACAGACTATCGCCTCTGACCCTTTGCTGCCTGCCTCAACCTCACAGATTGCACTCGTCTACCCCTTTTGGATTGTCCTTTTGTTACCTTGCCTCCAGACTTTTTAAAAACACTAGACTAACTCTCTTAAAGGAGAACTATGGGGTAAGTGTTTTTCCCCATAGTTCTCGTAAGGGTCACGGAAGGACACAAACTGGCGTCCTCCAATGACCCAAAGCTCAGTATACTGTGAGCTACAGCTCACGGTATACTGAGACCACCGCAGCCGGGACAGATCCTGACATTACTGTCAAGATCCACCCAGCTGCGTGATTGACAGCTGGCTCTGCCTATCTGAACCCGCCCCCTCCCCGTCTGTTCCTCCAGTCAGCATTGGAGGATCGGAGCAGGGTGGGGGGGATCCCTGCAGTGAGCCGTGAGTGACAGTCACCGCTCTCTGTAGGTACATGATCGAGAAGTGAGCGAGCGGCGGTATGTGTTCACTCACTTCCCAATCAATTGAGCCAACGTGTGACAGTCTCATTGTCACACGTCGGCTCGAACTATGAGGATTGAGTGATTTTCACTCACCTCATAGTTCTCCTTTTAAATGTATTTTCAGAACAAGTATGCAAATAAGAACTGCTGACTTTCCTGGGCTGCAGACTTACTGAGTCACTTTATCAGAACAAATACATCTTATTTACAGCAATGGATTTTGGTCTCTACCCCTCGATACAATGTCAAATGTTTTCATAAGGTGGACTGATCCTTGAAGCTTTCATCTCGAGTAGCATAAGACCATGACGGCTTTTTTTTTTCTTTCTAAAGTGACATGAAACTAAGACTTGTCTGATATGGGTGCCATCTGTCTGGTTGAAATTAGCATGAAATTAATAGAATTAGTTGTAGGTTATATTAAAGGGCAGAGGTGGGGTGGGTTGAGTACAGCATCCTTGTATCTCCACCATTTACAGATTCTATAGAATTACCACAACTGCTTGCACTCATATTGTATTACAATTTTATTCACGCAACAAAGTGAAACGCCCCCAAATGTAAGGAAATGGGAGGAATATTTGTTCTGACTTCACAGTTTTCTGTCCCTTTTCGTGGAAAGGGGAAATCAGGGGCTTTAATGTTTTAATTACATATCACCGTTCTGGCAGAAGCTTTGATAAATTTAGTTGCAGCTAAACTGTGGTGTCAATAGCGTGCCAAAGTGAAAATTGAAGGTATGGTGGCATATGGACACCTAATCCCAATGAGCAAAGGGTCCAAAAGACTGAGAGGCAGGAGCCTGTTAATGAATCACATAGTTCAGTCAAGGTGTGATGCTGTTAGCATTAGGATAGAGGAAAAGGTATTGAACTCTGACGAAAAAGGTGCAAAGATCAATGTGTCGGGAAGAGGTGATGAGGTGAAAATGACACACTACTAGTGAGTTGTTACAACACAGAATGATGTGCATATCACTTCTTGCTAATGGAGAGCCACAATCAAGAAGGGTAGAGAGAGAAAAGGCAATATTTACTTCTAAAAATTTAGATTTGTTGCAATGGGCCTGACATTTACTTGCCACCAGGTGTTAATTTTGAAGCGTGTTATTGGTTGTTACTGGTTACACTGGTTTTACTTGTTATTTATTGATCCCTAATTTGGACAAGAATTGAAGGCATTACCCCTCATCTATATTAATGAATTGAAAATATCCGTGTGTGATCTTGGCATTACTTGTCTGTGAGTAGCCAAAAAAGTAGTTGATGGCATTGAACCTTTTTATAGAGGATCTACTCCGTTCGGTTGTGATTAATTGACTGTGTAGTTGTGCATTAGCATGGGGCAGACAGCCCACTGGTGCAGAAGGTTTTATGAGAACCTTTCATACTGGAACCGGAAAGACAAAAGGCTGCACCACACTAAGAGTCTAAGCATTATGTTTATTCCATTCCGTAACAACCAGCAGCTGAGGAACATGTCTGTTAGCGATATAACTCTATTTGCTTTCCTCCCAAACCCCAGTCCATCTTTGATCTTAAGCAATACTGTAACCATCAACCATTCTTCATGCCCTGATGAAGGGGATCTCCCACTGAAATGTGTTAGACGTTTCAAGTTAATGCTTGGACTTTTACCTTCAGATGTGGCACTCTCTCTTGTCTTTCAGGTCACTAGCTAGGGAGTGGCTGAACTGGAACAAGCATGCAAGTGAAATTAGTTACTGGTGTTCATGAGATCTCAACATATGTCTTAATATTCGAAACACAAATTGCAACAATTCCTTAACTTTGTTGATTCTGGCTGAAATCACAGGAAATCCCACATCTTGTGCCTAGTCTTATGTTTGGGATCTATTGTGAAATCTTCCTTACTTCTGTAGTTGAACATTGAAGGATGGACCAATAAAGTGGGATTATTCGATGGAGGAAGGATTGGGAGAGAGATAGTAATCACTTGAAAAATCTAACTGCAGGCCCCTTCGGTGCGCCTTAATTACCAGGAAAGAATGCACATAACTGCCTTGAAATTGAAAAAT